CATTACTCACTCAATTAAAAACAAAAGAGAAAAAGAAGTAATAAATAAATTGATGAAATAATCATCAACAACCAGTTAAAATATAAAAACAATTAATTATTAAATAAAATCAAACTATTTTATTGAAAGAATTAAGAAACACTTTACACACTAAATTTCATTAAACATTGACCAAGAAAAAAATGAATCAATAATTAATTATGTTAAAAATATCATAAATATCTTTTGTTCATCTTTTGTGTTATTCTCAACAACACCAGTGTCTATTTGTTTTTATTATCAATATACTTAATTAACATTTAGATGTGTCTGTTTATTGTTCTGATAAAAATATTCAATTCATTGTATTTCAGTGTTAATATAATTTGTGTTTTATGAACTTTCTTTTATGATGGATATTAAAATTCATCTTTCATTTGAATATCCTTCGTGTCACTTAATGAATATATCTTATTGATTTAATATTCTGTAAACATCAAATAGTATGATGAAAGATTATATTTAAATATTATTCTGTATAATCTATAGTATTTTCTAGAATGAATAACCATACAATTCATTCAGATTGTATATAGGTAATGAAATGAGTAATGTAAAAGATATGAAATAAAAGAAGAAAGATAATGAAAAATATAAAAGTCAAGATAATGAAGAAGAAAGAGATAAAAATGATATAAAATGAATAAATAATACTTTAATGGATTTTCTTCAATGAAACAATGAAATAAATAATAGAATAGAGAAGAAAGAAAATGATAAATATTAATTGGATTGAAGTAAATTATTAAGTTGGACATGATTTAAATTGAAAGTATTAATTTCTTGTGCACTTTGTATTATTCTTTGAGTTAGTTCTAAATCAATTTGTAATTGAGATAGTGAATGAGATGTTGATAAGTGATGAATGAGGGAAAAAATGTCAAGAAAAGAAGCATGAGCAATTTTAGAGATATCATTAAAACCGAAGACAATGAGTTTACGAGCAATTTCTTTAGTGATACCATCTATTTGGATAATATGTACAATATCACTACAAACTCCAAATTTGATACGATCAATTAAAACTTTCAAATGGAAAGAAAGATCAAAATTATGTAATTCATTAGAGAATTGAATGATCATATTTAAAGTAGTAATAGTATTATTTTGTAGTTGTTGTAAAACTCCTCTACTAATTCCCATTTCATTAATGATTTGAATAATATTTTTTTCATGAATAATTTCATATAAAATGATAAAATAATAATATTTTTTATGAATTTCAATTTTCTTAATAATATCATTAGTTAATTTCACTTTTTTCATACTTTCCATATAACAAATAAATACTGGATTAATCCCAATACTTTTCATTAATTCTTGACAGTCTTGATATTCTTTATTATTTTTATTTTTTATATCTTCTATATCTTCTACTTTTTTTTCAAAACAATTCCAATTTATTTCATATTCATTATTAATTCCTAAATACAAATAATATACATCTTTATTTATTATATTGTTTTTTAAATACCCTTCATTAATATTAAAATATATTTCTTTACTAAATTTAATTCCCATTCCTCCTTTTACTGTAGCTCTTCCTATTTGATTACATTTAATTTTTTTTTCTCCTCCTTCTTCTTCTATTTCTTCAATCATACCATCATGTTTTAATATCTCAATCATTTTTTCACTATACTTTTTTTTCCATTCTTCTGCTCCTTCTTTTTCTTTAATTGTATACCAATAAAGTGTTTTTTCAATCCATTTTTCAATATCTTTTTTATTTTCAATAATTCCATTATAAATCCCTTCTAAAATATCTTCTTTTTCTTGTATCTCTTCTTTTTCTTCTATTTCTATTTCTTTATTCTCATTTGTTACTTTCATAAGATTTTTTACAATAGATATTTCTCCTTCTTTACAAAAAATATAACTTTCTCCTTTTTCATCAATTCCAAATCTTCCTGCTCTACCACTCATTTGTTGATATTGAACATTTGTCAAATATTCTTTTCCAATTTTTGGTTTATCAAAAATTACACGACTAGCTGGAAGATTTACTCCAAGTGCTAATGTACTAGTAGCAATAATTAATGTAATAATTCCTTTCTTAAATGACTTTTCTATTATTTGTCTTTCTTCATTAGTTATTCCTGAATGATGATAAACAATACCATATCTAATCATGTCTTGAAATTCTTCTTCTATTCCAAATTTACTTCTTTCCATTTCTTTAATCATTTCTATTCTTTGTTCTTCTATTTCTTTATTCATTTCTTCTTTTCTCCTTTTCTTTAGTATTTTAACAATTTCTTTTCCCATTCTTTCACATCCTTTTTTCGTTGAACAAAAACATATTACTCCTTTTCTTTCTTTTTTTGCTTCTTCCATTATTGAAATAATATTTTCTATATCCCCTTCTCCTTTTATTACTCTTTTAATTTCTCCTTCTTTATTTATTACTTTTCCTTTACAAACAATATATTCTTCAATTTTAATTGGTCGATATGTACTTTGATATGTTTTTGCTTTGATCCATTTCTCAAATATTGAAATATTTCCTATTGTTGCACTCATCCCAATTATTTGTATCTTTCTTTCAATACTTGTGATTTTATTAATTATCTTTTCTATTATTTGTCCTCTTCTTTTATCAAATATCATATGAATTTCATCAATTATAATAAGACTTACTTCTTCAATACTTTTCTCTTCAATTAGTTTATTAATTATTCCATTCCCCTTCTCAATAGTACATATCCCAATATCAAATTCTTTGTCTATTACTCGATTTTGAAAATATCCTTTTATATTGATTTTTATACTTTTGAATATCTCTTGAAAATACTCTTCTTTTTCTTGTGCCATTGACACATATGGTACTATATATATCATTTTCTTTTGCGTTTGACAGTATCTCTCTATCATCAGAATTTCACTTACCAACGTTTTCCCTGAACTTGTCGGTGCACTATACACTAAATTCTCCGTGCCTTCTCTAACTCCTTTTTCTTTTAGACACTCAACTTGCCACTCAAATAACTCTTGTATCCCTTTCTTCTCATACTCTTTTCTCACACTCTCTATCTTAATATATCTCTCAATCCCTCGTCTTCTTATCTCCTCTATCTTCTCTTTCTTTCCATCTCTTCCTCTTGGACGAAGAAGTCTTTCTCCCTCTTCTTCTTCTTTCTTTTCCTTTCTTCTTTCACTTTTCGTCATTATTGTTTGTGGCTTCTTGAAAAATGGCGTTTCATATTTACTCATATATCTCGTTAATATCTCTTCTTCTCTTCTTTTATTATATTCTTTCCTTTCTTTCATTTCTTCTTTTTTTGTTCTTTTTTTCTTAAAAATCCTTCAATTATCTCGAACAAATA